GGATGATGCTCCTAAGCGGGGAGGACGGTTTCTCCGGACCCTGCGGCAGCGAGCGTTCTGGAAGCACTTCGCAGCCTACTTCCCTATGAAGCTGACCCGGGAAGAAGAACTCGATCCGGAGAAAAATTATGTTTTTGGCTATCACCCGCATGGTATCATCAGTTTGGGCGCCCTTTGCAACTTCGGAACAGAGGCGACTGGCTTTGCGCAGCTTTTCCCAGGTATCGATTTACGGTTGCTGACATTGACCATGAACTTTCGCATACCTTTCTTTCGAGAGTATTTGCTTGGAATGGGCATCAATGATGTCAGTCGAGAATCCTGTGAACGGAACCTTTCTCGTGGACCTGGATCGTCAATCATGATTGTAGTGGGCGGTGCGCGCGAATCCATAGAGACCGCACAGGGTGGTCGCGACAGCTTGATACTCTCGAACAGGAAGGGATTTGTGAAGCTTGCTTTGCGCAAGGGTGCGTCCTTGGTCCCTGTTTACTCCTTTGGGGAGAACGACGTGTTCGGTGTTTTCCGCAGCAGTTGGCTGACAGAGCTGCAGATCCGGATGCAGAAGAAGTTGGGCTTTGCAGTGCCTCTCTTCTTCGGTCGCGCGCTTACCGCTGGACTGCTGCATCGGCTGTTCGGGCTGAACGTGGGCGTTCTTCCTCTCCGGGTGCCCATTCACTCCGTTGTGGGAAAGCCGATCCATCTGAAGAAGACACCCAACCCCTCCCAGGAGGAAGTGGACGAGGCTCACGCTCGGTATATGGAAGAATTGAAGCGAATACACTCCGAATGGAAAGATAAGTTCGAGAAGGAGCGAGAAGACGTGTTGAAACAGTGCGATGCGGAGCGCGCCAAGATTTATCGCAGTGGTCGGTTCCGCTTGGATGACCACTGCGAGCTATCTTTTGTGGAGTGAGCCGCGTCGTGTGCACTCTCAGGTCCTCAGTGGATTCTTTGGTGCGCAATGTCCAAAAACCTTCTTGAGTCTCCAGGAGGGGCTCTCGTCGCTTCGCCCGGCCGACTTCCCGTTGGAGCTCTTGCGTGGAATTGTTCCCGGGAGAGCTCCAGGGGGGGGTCTACGACGATGGAGTGTGGAGAGCGGGAGCATGCCGAGGGACGAAGTTGTCCCGCTGTCGCACGAGCAATCTGACGGGCTCCCAATGCCATGGGGCAAGCACCGCCAATGGGGACTTTCGCATGCCACTCCTGGGACGTCGAATTCTGACTTTGCCCTGGTCCGAAGTCCGGCTTAATCCCGCTTAATCTGGATTAATCCCGCTTGATCCGAAGCCCACTTTGGCGTAACAGGCCCGCAATGGGGCTTAGTCCTCCTTACTTTTTCCGACGAAGACCTCCCAGCAGTTGCTTCATGAGGGACTGCTCGGTCGAAGCCTGCCATCGGGCACTGGCCACGGGAGGACCTTCAATGCGGGCCCCTTGCACCGCACCCTGCCACAATCGGCGCAAGGGAAAGCGCCCCCACCCCGACAAAGTGTATTACTAGCCGGCCGCTCTGCGGTTGATCGGGAGTTTCTGTATATAGAAGAAGGTTCGTGCGCTTGTTGGCGAGGGTGAGGATGAGGTTCCTCCTCCTCCTCCTCCTCCTCCTCCTCCATCCTTCTCTTGCCTCCGTCTGTCCTCCTCCACCCCACAGCTCCATCATCTTCTCCTCCTCCTCCTCCTCCTCCTCCTCCTCCTCCTCCTCCTCCTCTTCCTCCTCCTCCTCCTCCTCCTCATTCCTCCTCTGGGCACCTCCCCCGGGGCGCGGATCCACCGGATCTGTCCGGATCTGTCCGGAAACAATGCCGGAGGCCGCTCTGGGCTCCTCTGGGCACCTCCCCCGGGGCCTGTTTTGTGAGGATGTCTCAAGCGAGGGCGCCGGTTTGGGATTCGTCGGCGGATCTACCGGATCCAGTGGATCTGTCCGGAAACGGTGCCGGAGGCCGCTCTGGGCTCCATGCATGGGGCACCTCCCCCGGGGCCGGTTTGGGATTCGTCGGCGGATCCACCAGATCCAGCGGATCTGTCCAGAAACGGTGCCGGAGGCCGCTCTGGGCTCCTCTGGGCACCTCCCCCGGGGCCCTGTTTTGTGAGGATGTCTCGAAGCGAGGCGCGCGGTTTGGGATTCGTCGGCGGATCCATCGGAACAGTCTGCAGGTATCCCCGCCCCGAGGCCGCTCTGGTCTCCTCTTGGCACCTTCCCCCGAGGCCGGTTTTGTGAGATGTCTCAACGAGGCGCCGGTTGGATTTCGTTCGGCGGGTGCCACCGATCTGTCCGTAAACGGTGCCGGAGGCCGCTCTGGGCTCCTCTGGGCACCTCCCCCGGGGCCGGTTTTGTGAGGATGTCTCAAGCGAGGGCGCCGGTTTGGGATTCGTCACCGGATCCAGCGGATCCACCGGATCTGTCCGGAAACGGTGCCGGAGGCCGCTCTGGGCTCCTCTGGGCACCTCCCCCGGGGCCGGTTTTGTGAGGATGTCTCAATCGAGGGCGCCGGTTTGGGATTCGTCACCGGATCCACCGGATCTGTCCGGAAACGGTGCCGGAGGCCGCTCTGGGCTCCTCTGGGCACCTCCCCCGGGGCCGGTTTTGCGAGGAGGTCTCAAGCGAGGGCGCCGGTTTGGGATTCGTCACCGGATCCAGCGGATCCGTCCGGAAACGGTGCCGGAGGCCGCTCTGGGCTCCTCTGGGCACCTCCCCCGGGGCCGGTTTTGTGAGGATGTCTCAAGCGAGGGCGCCGGTTTGGGATTCGTCGGCGGATCCACCGGATCTGTTCGGAAACGGTGCCGGAGGCCGCTCTGGGCTCCTCTGGGCACCTCCCCCGGGGCCGGTTTTGCGAGGATGTCTTAAGCGAGGGCGCCGGTTTGGGATTCGTCACCGGATCCAGCGGATCCGTCCGGAAACGGTACCGGAGGCCGCTCTGGACTCGTGCTCTTCGCGCCGGGGGTGAGGATGACGTGAGTTCCACAGAAACTCCCTCAAACCACACAACTGCTTCCGACAAGGATCGGTTCGTGCCAAAATTGTGTCAGGACCTGGGGCCCACATGTCACGAGCTGACAACCAGCATCCATATCCATGCGGCCCCCAGATTTCTCGGGGCGGAATTCATTGGGGGGCCATGTGTGTGTGTGATGCCTGGTTTGAGCGGGAGCCCATGGGAGCTTCTTCAGGGGTCCGACAACCTGCGCTCGTATTTACAACGCGCTTTCAAATCAGGTGGCACGCGCGGATCAGCAACCCTTGTGGGTACGAGGGCATGTTGCCCGCTCATCAACCTGGAGGCCTCTCGGGGCCGCACTGGGCCCTTTCAAGGTCTTGTGAAGTACGGCGGCCTTGGCAGGAGGGTCGATCAGGAGGACGTCGCAGCGTCCTTCCCAGGGAACAAGACATGGCATTCATATAGATGTTCGGAGGTAGGTGCGCACAGATCTCTTGGATCCGCGCTTAGGCCTCCATCCCTGGCGCGCAGAGCGCGCAAGGGGCGGTGCCAGAGGCACCACCAGGGGGGGGCCCAGCGCCGATCAGCGAAATCCGCGCGGAGCTCTGGAATGAGATATTCATGCCGTTCATTGTTCCAGTAGATGCTATCGGGAAAAACGGTTCATCCTTCTTCATCTCCGTTTTCTAGGGGAACAAACAATGACACAAACGGACAACAACTCTTTGTGCGGGTGTTGCCAGAAGTGTCCTTGGCCCAAGGTGCTCCCAGGATTTCCAGGGAGGCCCCCACGGTCTCCGGAGCGCCCCTCACGAGGCCTCAGGAGGGCCTCAGGAAGCCTCAAAATGGAACGAAAAGCTTGGGGCACCTTTATGCAACCTCCGACTTTGCTTCGAGGCTCGGAAACGTCCGCGAACCTCGAGCCACATGGGGGCACCAAAACGTACCAATAGTGGACTTCTCCCAGGGCGCATTCTAACTAGAATGTCGAAGCGAATCCAGCACTTGCGACGAGGCACTCCGAGGAGCCCCAAAAAAGGGCGAACACGGGGGACAGGTAGCGGTAGCGGTACCTCTTCCTCCCCTGATAAGCATCACTTCCTCTTCGAGGATCGGAAACGCCAGGGGCACCTCGATGCAATCTGTGTGGGCTCCCTCTGTGAGACCCTGCCTCGCCTCCTGCCTGCCTCTGCGGCCGCCTCGCCCTGGGTCGCCTGGACGCGCGTGCGGCCTCTGCCTCAGCCTCTGCCGCGGCGCGGCGCGAAGCAACGAGTCCGACTCCCGGAGCTGCCGGGCGCCTGCTCCTGGCGTCGGCGGGGGCGGCAGTCGTCCATCGACGGGCTTCCCGCACTTCCGAGGTGTGGGATGCCCACAGGGCGCCAGACCCCCCAGGGTTCTTTTCTGGCGATGGACGGGTTTCCCGTGCTTCCGGACTGTGAGGAACCCACAGGTCGCCAGATTCCCCAGGGTTTTTTTTTGGCGTTTGACGGGTGTCCCACACTTCCGAAGTACGGGAAACCCATAGGTCGCCAGGTGCCCTAGGGGTTTCTGGCGATCGATGGGCTTCCCATGCTTCCGAATAGTGGGAAGCCCATAGGTCGCCAGATTCCCCAGGGGCTTCTGGCGATCGATGGGTTTGCCATAATTCTCAGGCGATCGCAAACATGGATTAAGGGGGCGTGGATTAGCGACGGGTCCTGTTTCCATGGGAAATCGCGGGTTCCCGCCGTCGTGCGAGGCGGTACTGGCCGCATTTTGGGGAGGGAACCTCCCCCGATCCATGGACTTGGCGGCCACGCGCCACATCCATGCATCGCTAATCCAAGTTCGCCCCCGAGAAGTACGGGAAACCCAGAGGTCGCCAGGCTCCCCAGGGCTTTCCTGGCGATCGACGGGCCTCCCATAGCCCCCGCGGGCCCGCCGAGGAGCTCTTCCGCGGCGCTCCCCGGACCCCGGGGCCCCGCCGCGAGCCCCGTCGCGCCCGCGAGCGCGGGGCCTCTCCGGGCGGCGGGGTCGGGCCGGCGGCCCCGGCCCGCAGGAGGACCGTCGGCGGCTACGATCTGGGCTTAAGTCGGGCCTGTCCCCCTGCAGGGGGATCTTCCACGAAAAATAAAAACTGCCCCCAAAATAATTAGAAAATAATCCACAAATAGTCTGGGGACTATTTTTGGGCCTTTCTGGTGTATTTTTGTGGTATTCTTTATTTTTCATCGACCTCTGTAGGGGGACACGCCCGACATAAATCTGGGCCTCCCCGGTGGGGTCGGGGCAGACGGGGGGTCGGAGGATCGCGCCGCATCGCCGATGCCTCGACGATGCGGCTCGACGTGGAGACCTTGTTTTCCCACGCCGACGTCGCCGATGCATCGCCGATGCATCGCCGACATCGGCGATGCCTCGTCGATGCATCGCCGATGCATCGGCGATGCATTGGCGATACGGCGCGACCCTTCGACCCCATCCACTCGGACCCCATCCAGGAGGCCTCTGTACAAAGGGCATGGTTACGCCGGGGTGTGGTTTGCGATCGGCACCGTCGGGGCCTGGGGGGCACGGCACTGTCCTCGTCGGGCCTCCTCGGGACGCGGGAGAACTCAATCCAGTCCCCGCGCGCCCCCCAGGGTGCCCCCAGGATGTTCCCTAGGGTGCCGGTCGCAAACCACACCCTTTGCAAACCATACTTCTTGGAGTCGCCGAGATTGGCCCGAACCCCACCCCCATGAGCGTCGTTTGACCGATCCCTTTCCCCAAGGGCGTGGCATGGGCCCCACTGGCCGATCGACACCCCCCAGATGGGGATACAGGCTGTTCCCTTCGCGCTTCGAGGGGCGTGGGATGGTGGGGGTCGGAATGGAGAAGGAGATGGGGATAGGGATCGGCTAGGCGATGCTGACCCCAGCCTTCGGGGCGCTCCCGAAAGGTGCGGTGACCATGCCGCCAGGCGAGCAGAGGGTGCTTCTCGGGGCCCGGGGTTCTCGTCGGGCGGGTGGCAAGGGAGGGTGAAGAAAGGGCCCTAAGGGCCCCCTTTAGGGCCCCTGTTGGCTCTTCGGGGCCCCTTTCTTTTCTCCACCCCCCATCACCCTCCGCCGAGGACCGTTAGGGCTCCTTTTGGGCCCTTGCTCGCTCCCAAAGGGGCCCTGGGGGGCTCCTTCAGGGCCCTTCTCTTGACCCCCATATGTAGGTCACCCCCCATTGCCACCCGTCTGAGAGGAGGAGGAGGAGGAGGAGGAGGAGGAGGAGGAGGAGGCTCGAGATTCGCGGACGTCTCCGATCCTCGAAGAGGAAGTAATGCTTACCAGGGGAGGAAGAGGTGCCGCTACCGCTACCCGTCCCCCGTGTTCGCCCTTTCTGGGGCTCCTCGGAGTGCCTCGTCGCCACTGCTGGATTCGCTTCGACATTCTAGTCAGAATGCACCCTGGGAGAGGTCCGGGGAGTAGCGGTATTGGTATGGTGCCCCCATGTGGCTCGAGATTCGCGGACGTTTCCGAGCCTCGAAGAAAAGTCGGAGGCTGCATATAGGTGCCCCTGCTCCAAGGTGCCCCCAGCTTTTCGCTCCGTTCGGGGGCCCCTGGGGCCCTCCTGAGGCCTCGCGAGGGGCGCTCTGGAGACCGTGGGGGCCTCCCTGGAAATCCTGGGGGCACCTTGGGGACACTTCTGACAACACCTGAACAACAAATCATGCATTGTTCGTTTATGTCATTGTTTGGGTCCAGCGCGGATCCAAGAGATCCACGCGGACCTCCGAAAGTCTATGATTGTGCAGTTGTTGTTTTCTTCTACCCCCCCTCCAACTATATTCCGTTCCCCACGCGAGAGGTTGGTTCAAAAAGATGTTCCGAGTCGCCTCACAGCCAGCCGCGAGGCTTCAAGTGTACCGCCTGGTCCCTGAGTGTCTTGCCTCGCCAGCCCAGCACTCGCGGCCGCCAGGCCCAACGAATTTACGAGTGTCCTTGAGAAGCCCGCCTCGCCGAGCACCGCTACTTGGCATCGCTCGGACGTGTGCATTTTTCCTTCGGCGTGGGACATCGAGGAGCATCCTTGATCATTTGGCGAAAAACCCACGCACGAAACTAAACAAAGCGCAGGGAATGGACGTCCGAGCGATGGCGAGGCTAGGGATGCATCACGCCGTCCAGGCGTCTCACGACGCAGCGCCGCACACTCCTGCTCCCCTCGCTGCCCTCCCCGTCATCCACGCTTTCAGCCTCGCCATCCGCCGCCTTGTCCTCGCCATCATCTCTTTCCTCTTTACCCCCTGCGAGCCCAGTTGACAACATCGGCGCTTCCCGTTCTTGTCAGATCAGGTTGTTGTATGGCCCTCTGAAGAGGGAGGCAAGGTTCACTGCATTATCGTTAATGCGTATTGGGTTTACTCTGGTCCTCCTCCTCCGCCTCAGGAGACCATGAAACAGATCAGAGCCCTCTGCAAAAAGGGGGGCGGTACGCTCGACACGACGAAGGTCACGGGCAGTCAGCGCGCTGGCCTCGGCGGCTGGGGAGGCGGAGGGAGGGGACGCCAGATAAAGCGACGGCGTCAAGAGGACGGGAGGCGATAGGAGGGTGAGGCTGAGCAGGGAGGGGGGGATGGGGAGTCCAGACGATGTGGGGGCGCAGCGAAGGGAGGGGAGGTGAGGGGTTGGGGAGGCGAGGGGACGGGATCAAGGTTGCAAGGCCCAGACAACTGGCGCACAGACAAAGTCGAAGCAGCCGGTCTGCTGTGTGCTTTGTCTCTTGGGCCGGTTGCAGGCTTTGGAAACGCCAAGGAACGACTCGGGGTAAAGAGCCGGCCACGCGGCATTCTGATGAGTGTAGAGCCCCTCGGCCAGAGCGTCAACTCATGGATTGGACCACGATGAAGCCAATTTAGTCGGCCACAGCTTTCAGCAGCAGGCGTCCAGATGCTTGCCACGAGTTGTAGAGGTGCCCCGTGACAGTTCAGACAGTTTCCGTGCCACTGGCGATGCGGTGCGACGAAGAGCCGGCCCTGGGGAAGGGGTCGGGAGGCCCCAGGGCCTACGCATCGAGCAGGTCGAAGCGCTATGTATGCCCGGGGGGGAGGAGAAACATTGGCCCAGAAAAGCACATGAATGCAAACAGATCCCAGGATTCCCCATGATCTCCGTACCTATACCACCACCCTGCGGGTGGTGAGGAGGTTGGGGGGGAGGGGGGCCAGCAATGGGCAACAGTGGTGATTGTCGCGTTGCCGCTCGCTCTTGGGATGGTAAGAGAGTTGAGGGGGGGAGGACCCAACGTCTCACTCAATCGATCTCACAATGGACCCCACTATCGCTTTCACAATCAATATCATTCCATCGATCACACTATCGATCTCACTCGATCGATCTCACTATCGATCCCACTCAATCGATCTCAGTATCGATCTCTCTATGGATCTCACAAGCGATGTCGTTATCGGTCCCACGATCGATCTCACCATCGACCTCTCTACCGATCTTACAAGCGATGCCGTTATCGGTCTCACGATCGATGGGACCATCGATCCCACCATCGATCTCACTCGATCGATCTCAATATCGATCTAACTCGATCGATTTCACTGTCGATCTCACTCTGGATCTCGCTATCGATCCCACTAACGATCTCCTTATCGATATCACTCAATCTCACAATCGATATCACTATTCGTCTCA